TTTTGTTATTTTTCCCCTCTTCCTTCAACAAGAGATCAAGAAGCTCACTTACCCTTCTGTTCACTTTCAAATCCTACAACGCCTCGTCCCCCATTCACCAGCCCTTGAGACACATCGAGATTCTTTGCTAGCATCACCTACAGAGAAAAAGAAAAATCCTTCAGTGCACTGGGTTTACAGCCTGTTCAGCCACCTGCAGCTAAACTTCTTTCCAGGAAGCATAAGCACATCAGGCTGATATGGCCACAATCTCCTATCCTGCCCATTGCAGGACAGAGCACCATCTCCAACTGAAATTATTTCACAGCCTTTCCTTCCTAGGACTCCCAGCTATTTTACAGCATTGAACACTTCACTTGAGCTGCTTCTGTCCACAGCTATGAGTTGCCTGTGCTCTCTGCTACTGAAAGCTTCTAAACCTGATTGGAAAAGTGTGTCAAAGTCACAGCAATCACCATTGTCCCCAAGACATGGACTGCACTCAAATCAAACTCATTTTCTGCTGGGATAAGATTCCAAGCAGAGAAAATATAAAAGATTGGAATAGAATCTTCTGTTGGCCTGGCATAGACATTCTATATTGAATCTGCATTCTGTGTATTAATCTACTCTATATATTTATCTGATATTCCTTTATTTTTCTTATACCATTTGATCTGCTGTTCTATCCCATGTGTATGTACGCATACTTACCTGAGCTCCAAGCTTCAGCTCAACTCTACCACCCACAGGACACTGAGCATCAATTAACTTCACTAACATTGGGTCAGTATCCAAAGCCTCAAACATGTGCACTTCTCCTGTTAAGGAAAGAAAGACATAGCAAATTGCAGCTGTTGAACACATTATACACAGCATGGCAGGAGGCTCAGTATTTATTTCTAATAGCAATTCCTCTTTTAATATCCATTCTGCTGTGCTGCTAGGACATCTTCACACAAACCTTGTCACATCTAACAACAGAGAGCTCACTATTGCCTCTCTTCCCAACAGAACTCCCAGAGCATGGAAAGGCACAGGAAACAAAGGCCAGCAGTAAATAAGTACTGAGCAGCCAGCCTTTTGAGCAAATGACCAGTTTCATTTGGTGCCAACACCAGATCGCTAAAGGAAGTATCCAACAGCCAGAAAGGGAGGCAAAAATTGAGAAAGCCCTTAATAAGATGCTATAGAAAGAAAAAGCAGAAGTGTGGAGGCAATAAATGACCTGTTTCATAGTAATCAATGAGCTTGCTGTCTATTACACACCAAGAAGTGACACTGAATATTTAAGTAAGAAACTGAAGTTTTTCCCCAGGCAGCCCAACTCCAACACAGAGCTTTGACCTGGTGCTGCTGTGCATGACAGAACACTAGTTCTTCCTGACACCACAGTATCCTCACTGCATCCACTCAGAGCTCAGCCCCAGAGCCAGCAGTTTCCTCCAGGGAGTTCACCTGATAGCTGTTGCAAGTGTCTCTCATTAGTTATTTTGACATCATCTTTATGGGTGCAGAGCCGTGTAGCCAGGATCCCATCACGCTCAGACCTGTTGGTAGCTGTCTGCATCAGCTGTCTGGTAACCTCCTCTGTGCACCTGGTAACCAGGAAAAGGGAGTTATTCTTTAAAGAGATCAGGAACAGGTCTTGAGCAGCAGTAACCTTCACATAGCTGGATCTGTCTGTGCAAGCTGCAGGCCTCCAGAGAGGAGGACAGAGAAAGATAAATAAAAGTTGGAGAGCAGTGCCAGTGTGTGGGCCCCAGCCAGTGCCAGCTCAGGATCCACTGAATTACCTCACAGAAATTAAAGAGGAACCCTAGAAAGTGTCCTTCCTTACCAGAGCAGGATATATGAAATCTTCCTACGTTAACTAAAGCTTTAATAGATTTTGCCCCCAGCTACATATTCCTGATAGAGCCCAGAAAAGCGACAAACTGCTCTTTCTTCTGCTCCGTAGGTGGGGAGCAGAGATCACAAAGAGATGAGTTTCTCCTCACCTGCCTAGACGGATTGCACTCAGGAGTGAGACAAAGGCCTTGTCAGTCTGTCGCCGCACTTCAGTCAGCTCCATGTTTATGTGGATACATTTCCTCCAGCTTTTTGCCTGGAAAAATCATTCTCTGGTTAAGAAAGAGGCAGACTTGAAGTATGAGAATGAGTTTAGGGGCAGTTTTGTACCTGGAAGCAGAACTTGATTTCTTCATTAGCCTTGCAAACTGGAGATAGCTGCAAGAAGTCCCCACAGATGATTAGCTGAATTCCCCCAAAAGGCTCATCCCGTTTTCTGACTGCCCTGAAAGAGATGGAAGAGAGAAGTTTTGAATGTCCTCCAGAACCTGGACATACTCAGATCTCAGAAGTTACTTCCTAATCTGTCAGGATATTCAAATATACACCACCTGCATTTAAAAGATGTTTATCCTCAGCTGAATCAAAAGAGCTTAAACAATTAAGCAATGGTAAAACATTAAATTTGCTTTGCTTAGCCACCCCAGATGCCATTACCAATCTTTCTTTGGTGGCTGTTATGCTACAGCTGCTTCTCTCTGCAAGAGAGAACTTCTGGGAACAGCTGTATTCTGGACTCAGCTCTATAGATAGACAACACTTAGCTCAAGAGATGGAAAGAGCAACCAGAACAGCCACAGCTGTGAGTGAGGAGGGGACACAATCAAAACCTATCTCATGATAAAGATCTGCCCAGATGCTGACTCCATGCTTCCTTGCAGTCCTATGCCAGCAGCTGCCTTGTATCAATTCACAAAACCAGAGGAAGGAAGCAGCCTGGAAGTTAAGGAAAATTCATTTCAGTTAGTTGTTTGACCTGACGTTTGCTCACCTTGCCACTGCCTCCAGCCTGTCAAAGAACTTTCCATCTACCACTGAGATCTCATCAATGATCAGGTGCTGGCAGGCCAGCCAGTGCTGGCGCACCCCCGGCCTCTCCACCAGCTGAATGCACTCTTCCAGCGGTGCCTTCCCAGAGCCGATCCCTGGCAGGAGAGAAGAAAGCAAAGCTTTGGGAAGGTCTTGATTCATTGGGAAGGAAGTGAAAGCTCCCAGTCCCTCGCTGTCGGGCAGGCATTACCTGCAAAGGCATGGAGAGTGGTGCCACCGATGTGGCAAGCGGCCACTCCCGTGCTGGCTGTGGCATAGGTGACGTTCGGAGGGAGGGAGCCCACGATCCTCTTCAGCAGGAAGGACTTCCCAGTCCCTTCGAGGAGAGAGAAGCAACGGGTCAGCGGCGAGGCCCGAGGGCTTTCCCCAGCGAGAGCCACCGGGCGCCCTCACCTGCGCAGCCGGTGCAGAAGATGCTCTTCCCGCTCCGCACGGCTCCCAGCACCGCCTCCTGCTCCGCCGACAGCCGCGCCAGGGGCCGCCTTCGGCGCGGGGCACCTGCGGGACAGACAGGAGCGGTGCGCTGTGAGGGCAGCGCCCGAACCCGGGCCCGGTACCGGGGCCGCCCCTCGCCCCGGGACTCACCTCGGCGGGGCGCTCCCTCCGCCCCGTCCCGCAGGCGCGGCGGGGGCCGGGGTTTGCGCAGCAGGTCCCGCTCCTTCACCGGGCTGGTCACGGCGAAGGACGCCGGCGGCCGCTCCAGCAGGCGCGGGGGGCACGCCAGGCCCCGCGACCCGGCGGCCACCTTGAGCCGCAGGAGGCGGAAGAAGCGGCGCAGCGCGTCCGGGGGGCAGTCGGAGAGCAAGACCTGCGCGCCGCCCGCACCGCCGCCCGCCCCTCGCCCGCGAACCGCGTGAAGAGCCGCACGGCGTCCCCGCTCAGCGCGAAGCTCAGCACCGCGGCCGCCGCGCCGCTGCCGCCTACCACCCGTAGCACGGGCTGGCGCAGCTCGTTGCGGCCCAGCAGCACTGGGAAACTCTTCAAATAATTTGTTTAATAGAGGTTAATATAACACTGGAAAATATGTGCTCATAGAGGTGACACTTTATTTTTTTCTCTCAGCCAGATGCTCCTACAGCTTTATCTCTTGCTCCCTGCCCTTCTTCTGAGCAAATAAAAAATTAAGATGGTTAACTTCTAAAGAGTAATATGAGAATGCAGTGCTGTACCTTGATTTTTGGTCACATTTTCCCTCATTGTGGTTTGTGCTGTTGTGGTTTTTTTGTTTACTGTTTGACTTACAGCTTGTGTGCACAACTTTGGTCAAGCAGCAGAAGGACACAGACTTTGCACTTCTCCAAGCTTTATGTTTTCTCAGTTAAAAATCTCAATCTAATCTACAAAGTTGCTATCTACTAGACTCCCTCATTTGATGCTAAGGAGGAGATAAGGTACCTCTGTGCTTGGAGAAGGAAAGGCAGGAGGAAGCAGTGTTTAGCACCAAGTTGATTTGCATAGGCTGGGAAACAACTCCGGACTCAACATCTTCTCACTCCTCTGCTTTGAAAGTGCCCTGTGACATCCTCACCTTCTCAGGGTCCCGAGTCCTGGGCACACGTGGACAGCACAAGGTATCTGCTGTCTCATGCAAACTCAGAGTCCCAACAGGCACAGATCAGCCACAGCTCTTTTCCCTCTCTAATTGATGCTTTCTGATTGTTCTGGCTCTAGCCAGGAGCTGTAGATCTCTCACAGGCCTCCCAGCAACTGTACCCTCTGGAGCCTGGGTTTCTGTGCCCCAGCCCTCTCCCTGCCCAGGCAATCCAAGCAGCAGGAGCCGTGCAGGGAACAGCCCTGTGTGCAGTTCACGGGATGTGATGGGTCCCGGGCCTGCAAACCCGCGGTGGTTACAGACTTCCTGGACACGTGCTGCCTCTGGCAGTGTGCCCTGAGCCACGTCCAAAGTGACCTCATGCTCCATCACAGCCGGGGAGTGACTCAGGAGGAGCTTGGCCTGACACTGTCAGGCGGTGTCTGGTTCGGGCACCCCCCACACTATTGTCCTCCCTCTCCCCCCACCCCGTGTTGGCTGGTCCCCAAGGGAAGGGGATTTTGAGGTGTTTGCTGGCAGCAAAGGCAATGCCACGAGGGAATGTGGTTTGTGGGGACTGTCTGGGAACAGGGAGAGCAATGGGAGGAACAATCCCTAGTGTGTGCAGAGCTGCCATGTGTGGTCACAAATTGCCCCTGCCTGTGTGTAATGAGCCCCGAGTCCCAGCTCCACACAGAGCAGGGCACAAAGACAGAGTGTGCTTGGCATGGGCTGACGGGCTCCTGAGAGCCATTTCCAGCAGGCAGGGTGCTGAGTGGCCGTCCCCCCACCCAGGAGAAGTGACACAGCTCTGACATAAGGGACCTGCATCAGCTGCAGGTAAGTATATGCTTTCCATGTTTTTGACTGAGTGCTGTACATTTCCTAAGTTCAGTTCTTAAATGTGGTACCTCTTGGTGTTAGTGTACAAAATGTGGGCTAGCATTTACACAGCTGAGTTACTTGTTAATTTTATTTTATTTCCAACTTTTTGGAGTCTTCTACATTGCCATTTTGCTTCTGTATGTAGACCTCAGTTTTGTTCTTTCTCAGTTATTTAATTTATGAATAGATTGTGGTAGATACAGTATATATTTGGTATATTTAAATGGAGAAAGTAGCTGGAGGAAGGAGACAGATTTTAGTGCAGTTGTTATGAAATGCAAATGCTTATAGTCAGAGGAGGTGAACAGTGTTGAATTGTCACAGAGGTAGAATGTTGCTTCTGAGCAGTAACAACTGCTATCGTTATTTAGAGTAGCGTAACAGAATTTGGATTAATCCAGAGGTTCTTGCAGTTGTAAGGGAGGTGGAAGGAGTCATCCACTATGAAAGATCCACAAGAACAGATTTTTAGTATGGAAATTGTATTACTGAGGCATACACCACTGTAAGATCTGTCACTGATTGAACCAGGGTAATTTGCATGCTGCCTTGGCCCAGCATCATGCCACCCAAGTCAAGGAGAGATTGTCCTTCTGTGCAACGTCACCCAAAGTAGTGAAGCTAAACTCTGTGTAGCTCTGGGGATAACTCCATATGTAGGCATCAGCCTTTGTACATGGAAAGCATTATGATTTGGGGGTTAGTATTTTTTCATTTTAGATTTCTAAGGCCACTGTTAGGAGCCAAATGTTGTCCTTTGGGCTGGAGCTGATTGAAGAATTGTGTGGATAGACACTGTTGTTCATGGATTTTCTGTTTTCAGAAACAGTTGGCAGTGATTTCTGTGTGGAAAACCAAATGCAGCCTAACTGTTCAAATGCTTCTGTGTCTTTGTTTTGTTTCCACCACCCCTTGATATAGGGGCTGCAGTAACTTCTCTGTACAGGCTTACAGATTCCTGCTGGGCCAGAAAAGCCTCCAGCCTTTCTATAGCTAAACCCATTTGACAGAGCTGGCTGTGCTCACTCCTATCACAACAGCTTCCATCTCATCTCACTCTGTTAATTCTGGCTCTATAGAAGAGCCAACTGACTTGTAACATGAGAATCTGTCTGCGTCCCTGCTGACATTGCAAATCACTCAACCATTGCTTGGGCTGGACTGGGATCTGTTTATCTCCATCTTTCATTGGAGACTCATGCAGGTTTGCAAGTCTCTGTTTCTGCTGCCTTTTCCTGAGTAGCTCTTGTCTGTCAGAAACGGCTGCTTGAAGCAGTTGGCTGCTGATAATCTGCTTATCCTGCAAAAGGGTCAGACCTAGCACGGCCAGAAGTCCAACCTGCAGTCTCTTTGTGAGTTGTTCTTCCTGACTAAATAGTCAAGCTGATGCACTTTGATATAGGTGTCATGGATACTCCTTTAAGCTGGATCTTCCCATCACAGAAGCAGCATTGTGTGCTGGACATAGCTCTGTGTGGTTGTTAGCTTTTCTGCAAAATCCTCATACCATTTATGCACAGATCAGCCAGGCAGCAGTAATTTTGAAACTGGCCTTGTGTGATACCTTATCACTGCTTCTGACCAGTCTTTTGTAGAAAGGAGCATCTCCTGAGGTATCAGCCAACTGTTCATTCATGCACCTGCTTGGATCAGATACAATTTAAGAAAGCCATTAACTATAATAAATTTAGCAACAGGTAAATAAAATTAATTATAACATACAGATTTTCTAAATATATAATTAAAAGAACCATTAGAGGAAATATTACATCCTTGATGCTAAGTCAACCTGGCTTACTCTTAATATGCACACACAAGGATGTAAAGCTTTCCCTTATTATATCTAAATTTAGAAAATAACAGCTGAGTCTGTTGTCTTCAAAAGCTTTTGGAAATATAGAAATCATTAGAAGAGTAGAAATATTTTAGCTCACGTGACAGAAATAGATGGATGATAAGAGCAGGATGGGGAGCCAGTTGGGTATTTCCTAGATGCTTTTACAGACTTTTCAGGAAAATAGCAACTTGCACATTATATCCAAAAGCAAATTCTGCATGTATTCACAGGGAAATAAAACCCAATGAAAACTGCCTTTGAGAGGCTTTTTATGCTTTTTCCATGTTGTGCCATTTTCCTTCATTGGTTATATGCTCTGTTTCCTGCTAGTAATTTTCATTCAATTTTTTATTTTTTTTTCCCCTCTGCCTGCTTGGAGAGTAGGATTCAAACAGTTTATGACCTGTTGTTACATTCATAGTGCAGCACACAACTCTTGACTCAAAGGTATTTTTTTGACTTCTCCCTAGCTTAATAGGAATGCTGATGTTTCTAGTGAAAACAAAAAACTGTACAAACAGTATAGTACAGAAGGCAAATTAAGCTTGCTGCACAGTAGAGTGATAGTAAAGTTTCAGTTTTTAAAGAATTGACTTTTTGCAGATTTAGAATAAGAAGGGAAGGTCATTTTCAGGCACTTAATTGTCAACATCTTGCTTTTATGAGCAATCTAGTAAAACATGTTTTGACTGAGATATTTTGGCAGGATATTTCTAGTGTAGTTGTCAGTCCTTGTAAGATTTTTCTGTTAACAGTATGTTACTGGCTAGAAAAGAATGTGCATTTGATAAATAATCCAAATCAATTCTAAGTTACAACCTAAGTGTGAATGCAGATAGAAAAATGCCACTCCGTGTATTCGATTATTTTTCTGGTTAAAACTCGATTTTATTTATTTCACCTTTTCTACTGATAGTTATTCCTTTTGTTAAGTTGTCTGTGCCGAGTGGTGGCTGTTGTTACCCAAGTGCACTCTGAGCCCTTGGCCAGGTCCGGGGGCGGAGGTGTTCCCGTGCCCTGGAATAACCTGCAGGAGCGCCCGTGCCCGCCGGGTGCCGCTCGAGCAGTGCGGGAAGGGTGTTCCTCCCGCTGCGCGGCTGTTCACAGCGGCTCTGGTCACAGGGGTGGGAGACTCCTCCCGGCAAACAAAGGCCATTTGAGCGTTTTAATAACCCGGGCAGGGACTGATGGAGTGTTTGAACCAACCCTCAGATTGAGAAGATTTATACAGGTGACAGAAAGTCGATGTCAGCAAGATAGCTGTTTGGATTTCCAGTCCCTTACTTCAGATTTGTTTTGTAATTCAAAACTTGGACAAATGCACAGCAAACTAGATTTGGTATTGAGAAATATTCCTTTAGATTGTATTTCAAGTTTTCAACCCAAATATGAGTCCTCTGAAATGCTGGCTGTTATAGCTGCTCACCGTAAAATAGCTTGTTGGGGATTGTTCTGCTGTTCTAGGATGACTAGTACTTACATATCCCGTAACAATAAATACATACAGTACTGTATGCTTAATGCATTGACAGAACAGCTCTGCATTATTTCTTTTCCACAATTGTCCTGTAAATAAGAGACATTTCTTTTTCTTTTGAGTTTTTGCACCAGTTGAGGGTACTTCTCTGAAGGTCTTCAAAGATATGCTTTCTCTTATAGAGCAATTTGGTTTTTTTATTGACAAATAGTTGCCTATCCAGGATTCAGTTTGTAAAATACAGGTGGTGATTTTCTTGGTTTTGACACTTTGAGTTTTTCTTCTGACCTACATGTTTTCTGGGGCTATCCAGACTGTAGTTTAAATGCAAATATACCAAGAAAGCTGAAAAAATGAAATGTTTACAAAAACACTAGTCTTCCGAGTAATACAGAGCGATGGGTAAATGAAATTGGCTTGCTGCTGTGCTGCACCTGTTCTTATTATTTTCCTTGAATCTTCACTGGTTATATTATATTTATAGTGCCTCTGCATCTTAACCATTCTGGAGGACTTGATGCTTGTTTCAGCTGTGGTGCACCTGATCATTATGGGGCCACACAGCTACCTTATTTACACCCCCTCTAAAAGTTAGTGTTACTGTGAGAAAAAAACTAACTTCTTGGGAGCCATAGAAAACTATATCCTGCAACTGAAAGGTACTTATGCACGACTCATTCAAAACACATGGATAATCCTATTAAAATCAGCGGGACTACTTATGTATTTTAAGATAGGCACCTGCCTAAGTACCTTGGTAATTCAGAATCTGTAAGAGCAGCAGAGACTGAGTGAATTCCAGGCCTAGAAAACTAGGAGAAATGCCAAGACTTAATGAGACCACAGGTAGTGGCACCAGTTAGAACCATTAGCTGGCTAGGAATGGAATTCAGCTGTGCTTTGGAAAAGCTGATATGTCTTAGGGTTATTGAGTTTTATTGTTCTTTAATTTGTGGGTATTTCACTGCAGAACTTGAAGTGGCCATGTGGCACAGGAGAGCACATCTTTTGACTTTGCAGTATGCAGGAGTTGTGAGGTCCACATGGCATAAATACTGTGTGTGTAATATCAGACGAGAAAGTGGTGTGAGATTTTTGTGTAATGAAGGTGCATTCTACAGGCAAGTGAGCAGTAAAACTGCCACATAAAGCTGTGCAGTAGCAAAACCAGCAATAAAAATGTATTTCCTGCATGTGCCTTGACATTGCAATTACAGCCAGCTAGTTTAGCTGTAAATACCTCTACGTGGAAAAGCACTAAATAAAATAATACAACAAATTCTGTTGCAGGAAGCATGAAGATTCAGTGTGTGATGCCAGAACCTTTCCTCACTTAGCAGTGGGAGGGGCGCATCATATTTTCATGTTAACAGGAACTGATAAACAGACTCTCACTACTTTTTTGTCAGTGGCTCTTTGTTTCTGATAAGGAAATTTCTAGACTAGACTTCCCAGGAATTTTTGTCTCTTACAACAGCCTGCTGCTGCTGCAGGCGTCAGCAAAACCTTGCAGCAGCAGCAGTTGTTGAGTAACAACATCTGACGTAAGTCTGGAGGTATCAAAATGTAGCTGCTGGAACTGCATGTGCCCACTGTTGTATCCTGGCATTGCTGTACTGGCTGCCATAGCAGCACAGCACTGACCTGTGGAGTCAGAGGAGAAACTCTCCTGAGTTCTGCTGCAAACACTGGTGCCTGTTTGCTTTGTTAACATAATTTCTTTTGAAGTATTTGCAGGAGACCAACACTTGTACTGATCAGAGGTTTCCAGATTTAGTGATTCAGCTGTAGGGATTCAGTTCTTTACTGACTTGTTAGTGTTATCACTAAGAGCACACCAGAAAGATTTGTGATTATGTAGCTGGAGAAAAATATTCTGTTGACAGATTAAACCATACTTCAAGGCTTTGTTGAAAAAGTTTAGTTTGTGTGAACAGATAGATCACAGTGCAGTACTGAGGAAAATGGCATATCATTTTCTCGACAGGGTATCTAGGATAGCTTTAAAGTTTATCTGAGCTACTGACATATAAAAATAGCATTGCATATAGTTCTGTTGACAAAATTATGCATGTCTGGTAGGCCCAGAAGATAGGGAATCCATCAGTTTACATTGATAAGCAGATTTCTGTGAAGTAACAAAACCAGTTTACTATACCTAGACAGCAAAGTGATCAAATGTGAACTCACAGGTGGCTGTGCCTGATTTCCGTGCAGCAGAGCACAGCACTGTGCACATACACATGTATAAGGTTGGCCAGGAAAGACAAAGCTATTACTGTTGTTACTGCAGGTGGTTATTTCAGTAGGCTGGTAAAAAGCAAACAGAACTAGTTTACCATATGAACATTTGTCAATCTTCATGACAAAACCATTGAAATGAAGACTGAAAAGGCCTGTTTTGGAAAAGAAAGGTTCAGGTGGATTGTGTGGTGGAAAATGTGCTTAATTCTGCTACCAAATGGCATAGTGTCTTTGCTATAAAATGGAGTGATAGGACACCTAGTATCTCACTGACCTATCATTTTCTGAAGTTCCTCAGTAAGGGCTAGAGGCTATGGGTTGTGAGCGTGTTTGGCTACTTGTGTGTGCTGCTAGAAAAGGCAGTCTAGAGCCTCTGGAAGAAGTAAGGAAAATTAAAAATCCCTCAAATTCAGAATTATATAGTGCCTAACTTATTTTAATTACTTCAGTAAATAATTGTATTCTCAAAAATTCTCCTTAAGAAAAAAAAAAAAAGCTTTTACAAGCTTAAAACCAGGGAGGCACGGGATGGGGAGGAATGGTGAAGAGTTTGTGAGAAGGGATCCGAGTAGTAGCTTTTTCAAACCATCAAGTATCTTGCACTTCACAGGCTTAAAATACATTTGAATATAATAGAAGCAACACTATTTCTGCGAATGACCAACGATACAGCACTGTAAAGAGCTTACCTGTTCAGCTAAAATTGTTAACCTCTTGAAAAGAAAATATCTAGAACATATGTCTGTATTTATGCACCCATGTAACTTTTTTTTGATCCTTTCAAAGCACTTTAAAATAATGTTGCATTGTTACTATGGAATAGATTAATAGTTTTCATTATTTACAGACAAATAGATTTTGGTTCTGAAAACTTACAAAGCTCATCTATACCTGATAGTGTTGCTGAAACAAGTCTTTATTGTTTCTACTTCTAGTTATTCCCAAGTAAGTAGTCTGTGGCTATAGAAAAATAGGCCAGAACTGAACTATTTCATGGATAGCTTTGTACGTGTAGTTTTGAACTTGAAGGTGGTGTGTTGTCCTGTGAGAGAACAGAGAATCACGGAATCATTTATGTTGGAAAAGACCTTTTAAGATCATTGAGTCCAGCTGTAAACGTAACACTGCCAAGTCTACCAAATGAATACATGAAGTATTAAAGCTTAAGTTATATTGTTGTTCTAGCAGTAATAGCCAATTCTATGTCTCATTTTGTTATTTCTTTCATGGAGTTTGAATAAGAAACTATTCACCTCCAGAGATTGTTTTATTTGGTGAACATGTTTCTCTTTCAGGTTAATAGACTTAAGGCTTGGTTAAATAAATAAAAAAAAAATCATGTTATAGACATAGAGAACTTTCACAAGAATGCCATTATCCCCTGACTAGCCTGCAGAGTAAAATGCCATAAATAGAATTGCACAGAGAAGGGTCTGATTGCTGAGTAATCTGAGTTGCTCCTACCTTTCATGAAAAGCCATCTACTGAAGATGGAATAAATTCTTAGTAACAGAAGTGGAAGCAACGTTTTTTAGCTTGAATAAGTGAATTTGTCAATGTTCCTGGATACAGGAGCATATACTACCATAGAGATGTCTGCTTTTTTTTCCCACCTCTCAGAGCAGCCATCTCTATGTGCCTGTATTTTGCACAAAGATTTCAAAGTATAGAGAACAGAAAACTAGTGGCCATGGTTCTAACTAGTAATAGCAATTAAAATATTTGTTTTGTTTTGTTGCAACAGTACGTCATGCATTGTTAATACTTTTCTGCAGTCTATCTCTTTTGCTTCTTACAGAAAAAACCTAAAGCATTTCATAAACATGAATTCATTTCAAATTTGAATGAAGAAAATTAAGATTTCATTTACTTCTGAACTATTTGATTCCTCAAATCTTGAGTAATCTCTTCTCAAAAATCTTCACTAATTTGTAGCTGTCCTCTTGACTTTAATGGCAGCTGTCTTAATCCCAATTTAAATGCAATCTTTTGCTTTTTGTAAGATTTTTTACAAAATTCAATTGGAATTAAAAACCATTATCTCTCTAACTCTGTAATATCATCTGATTTTTTTTTTTTGGTAATTTTATTGAAGGGAAGTTAAGAGAAAGGATACAGAAGCACTTACATGTAGTTCCCTCCCCTTGTCTGGTATGTTATAATAATACAATGGTATGATCCCAGCTTCAGGTACTGCACAATCTACTTCAGGAGGACAAGTAGAATACAGAGCTCTGTCTGGAATTTGCTACATGGCATGGTATCATTTCGTTGGCCTTATCTGGACTAGTGAATTCATTCTTGCCTGTCAGCAAATGGTGATTGCTGGGGCCGTGGTTACTTGTTATTTCAACAGGTGAGTGCAGAATTACCCCTGGATAGTTTTGGGGATTTTCCAGCATTTACTTTCAATCTTTTTCAAGGAAAAATAGTCTCAAATAGATCACAGTTTATGTCAATATCTGAAATCCAATTTACCATAAAATAGTGTTGCTTGTTGCAAGATCTTGAGTTAGATTTTACAATATGCATGATAATAATGTGACTAACCCCTACCTCTGGAGATATTGGGCCAAACTGAGCCTTCCTATAAGCCATTAGAGCCGAGTTGACTCCGGTGGAATTACCATTCGGAAGGCATAGGCTGCATTTGACCCTTTTCCAGGAGACTGCATTAGCTCCCAATGAGAAGCCATCTAGAGTTCCTTGGTAATTTCATGTATTCATAGGCATTGACCTTTTTGTAACTTTTCATCCCTGCTCTGGGTTTTCCTTTATTCTTACTGCATAACTGCCTGGTGTATTACTCTTTTTTTCATTCTGTGCAGTTATTTTCAGTTAACTGTAAATGCTTTAACACCACTGTTAAGTATTCAAAGATGTGTAAACTAGCTTCCTTTAATTTTATACTGCCCTGGAATGTAAATGTGGAGGAAATGAGTAAAAGTAATATGAAATTGAATTGGTTTCATGCACTCATTGCAGGGGAAGATTTAAATCTCACGATACGTGGTTGAATTGTTTGACAATGAAGAGAGCGGTAGCCTGATAACATTTTCCCTCATAAGTATTTTATGAGCTCTCACATCCTCATTGCACTGTACTTCTGTGCCCAGTGATGAGATTTTCTGATCTGTGAAAAACTCTGACATTTAAGGCATTTCTTTATTTTGTATTAGAGGAATATGTCAATAACCTCAATTTGTTAAAAAATTAACCTTGGAGGAAGGTGATGTGAGAGTGAGGTGGGGAGCCTGGCAGGAGAGGGCTTGGGGACCCTGGAGCACGAGTGGCAGCTACCCAGGACCATCTGGCTGGGCAGTTGGGAAGGGAGGCTTTAGGCTTCTCCAAAACTTAGGAAGCAGCTTTCTGTTGATGGTCAGGATGTATCCCTGGATGTTTCAGTGCCTGATCAAGAGGCCTGCTGCCTCCAAATGGTGTTTTCCTTTCAGCGCAGCAGAGACATCAGTGTCTGTCTGCAGATGTGGCTCCATAAAGTTTTCCTGCAGCAGCCAATGGCCATGCTGTTCCAGCCAAAGCAGCAGGGCTGGAAGACTGGTAAAAGCCAGTGTCCACCACTGTTTTAAGCAATGTTTTACCATCCCATCCAAAAAGTCAAGGCAGGACAATGTTTAACATCGTTTTGGGAGCCTGTTCCAGACCAGATTCTCTACACAGCCAACAGCCGTGCCACTGAACTGGTGCTTAGGTAAAAAAGCAAAACCTACAGTGTTGCTTTTTAAAAAGTTGAGATCCGCAGAGCGACATAGTCTCACAATACTGTTTTACATGGCATGATAGGACCTGAAAAGGGAGGGACTTGCATTTCTGCTGTCATTTCCTTTTTTCCTATTGAAGTTCTAAATGCAAGAAACTTGTATGGCTGAGCTGCTGTGGATAGTGGGCTGTTCTTTTCTTGTAAGCACGTGGAGGAACCTCAGCTTTAGCACCTGAATGCTGGGACACTAAAGGTTCATTTAAACTGGCTTGAGAAAGCACGGGAAAGCCAAGTAGTTCTGCTGAGTTCCTGGGCTGTGGGCTGCAGTGCATTTTGGTACATAAATCCCCATATAAATCCCCAAGGCAAAGGCACTGTCCATATCTTGTTCACACAGAGCAGGGAAGCACCTGTAGAAACTGCTGTGATGACATTTACTGCGCTGTCAGGGGCTTCCGCTTTCCAGCTATTTTTTACTGCTGCAGGAACTGGCTGTCGAGTACAGAAGGTTCCTGCTCCAATTGTATTGAAATCATTTTGTACCTCAACCATCGAGCTCTCCTCTTGCTTGCCAGGTGACATGTACTGTGTTGAGAGAGTTGTGTTTGGAAGAAAATGCAATTTTTCTGTGGTGGTAATCCCTTTTCCTGGCCTTCAGGCTGTCAGCACGGATCTGCAGAGACGAAGAGCAGTGCAGGAATGGGGAGGGGATGGTTAGCTGCAGGAGCACTCACACCATCAAGGGTAAGGGTTATCTCGAGCTGTTCCAGCAATTCTGAGCTTGTCTGCTGTGTGTTTTTAATGTATTCCCTGGGGCAGCATCATAAAGGCATGTCATAAGAGTTTGTTTATAGTATCTTACAGAGAGGCTTTCTTCTTTGCTTGTAAGTGCTCTGAGGAAATGGCGTGGCCTTTCCCTGCGGAAATCTCCTTCCAGAGCACACACAGCAATGTGCTGCACGGCCAACAGCCACAGTGCCACTGCAAATGGAGAGGGCTGAGGGTTGCTCTGGTTGGATTAGCTTTGCAGGTTACATATATTTGACCTGAAATACCATGAATGAAAATAGATTTTACCTTCTTTTATTTTAGATGAAACATGAATACATTAATGATTTTATTAATCTATTAAAATAAATAGAATTCTTTCCTTAACGATTACTTTTTACAACTTGTGGAAAGGGCTCAGTATTTTAAAAAACCTTCTTTGTTACTACTGGTGTTTTACATGAAGGTTTATTTTCACCTTGGTGTGCTTAGGTGTTTTGTGTGTAATTACCTTTCAGGGTGATGAGGTTTTTTCCCTTCTCTGGGATTAAAGGAAGGTGATATGGTAACTTGATCCATGTCACAGGCATCACTGTCCTGTCCATGTTTGAACTTATTTAGTAACTCCAGTATGTCAGTGCACAGGTTTGAAATTAAGGAAGTCTATAAGCATTTGCAGGATTCACATTCTGAAGTGTTCAGTAGCACAACTTCCAACAGACATGAAATACACACATCTCCCAGTAAGTCAGAAATGAAAGTTTATGGATTGGCACCAAGGTCATTGAGAGTTGCTTCCTCTTCCCTCTTCAATTATATCTGCAATATTTATGGACACTTTTTGCCCTACTTACATACTTGACCTAAAAGAGTCATCAGCATGTATATAGTCAGACCTGTCCCAGGTGTTTTTGAGATCAGGTAAAAGGGCAGATGGACGTACAGTCAGTGTGTTCTCTGTTAGTCTGATAATGTCTCTTTTACTACAAATCTTGTAATTTATTGTATTTGTTTAAAAATTGAGCTTCATATTTACTTGAGGAGGATAAGATTCATTCCTTAACACTTTCAAAGTATTTTATGCTAAAGCTTTTTTTAGGCAGTCTTTGAAACAGGTGAGGCATGTGTGAAGAGGACTGTAAACATAGCTCTGTAGAGGACAAGATTTTAAAGAAATGAAGAAATGCCCTTTCTCCTCCCCCTTTCAAATGTCTGTGTCTGTTGGGTGTGTCAAGATTACATTTTTTCTTCTCACAAACCCAACGTTTTTAAAATGAAAGCCAAGATGCATGTGTGATCATCTGATTCAAGGAACTTAGCATTAAAAAAAAATTGAGTGTCACAGAGCTCACAAGAAAATAAGACAACTGGCAGTACTGAAGAAAGAAAATTATTAAAAGATAACCTGGTATTGAATACAGGTCCACAGGATACTGGAATAGTAGTGTTCTATTTAAATCAAACAATTTCTTGGTAATATAAAATAGAAATGCCAAAGAGGAAAAGAAAGCTGCGGCTCTACTCAGTCTTATAGTTTTCCCTGATAACTTGTGTGCATGCAGTGGATTTCACATGCACAGAATTCACTGTATAATATGAACTGCCTACAAAATTCATGCATATGGCTGACTGTGCTTGTGCCAAAGTCACTTCAGGATTGCAGACATGTACAAAGGTGGGTGAAACTTCAGTCTTAGGGGTAACAGGAGTAGGTGGATGGTTGAACCAATATTGAGCTTGTTTAGAGTCAGAAGCATCACCAGTTGTGTTTAGCCAGTTTCCCATGTTTTCTACTCTGAGCCAGAATTATAAGGAAAATCTGTTCCTTTTTAATCTGTTTGGAAGTAAAGCAAGAAATCTTAACAAATCCTATTCTTGTGATAATTCCTTTGCTAGGAAAAGAAGGTGTGGAAAAGCGTGGGTGAGAAAATGTGTAAAAATTTATCAAAACTAAGTTTCACATTTTGACGTTCCTACTCATTATTCAGTCCTGTTAAAAATAACAAAACCCTTCTTCATTTTTCTCTTCAGTAGCAAGTACAGTATTAAAATGAGTAAACTTTCTCCTTTCTGTGTTTCTTATCAGCTGTTAAGCTTTAACTTGCAGAAACTTAAAAATGTGTATTCCAAGATCAAACTGAGTGTCATATGTAAAGTGGTGTAAGGGGGAGAAAGAAACAGTGATTCAATATGAATAGAATAACTCATCCATATTGCAATGTACGTGTTCCTAACAGAGAAACCTGATGACTTAAAAAAACCCAACCAAACTGCCTTATTCAGTATAAAATTCCACTATCCCCCAAGCTGTTCCCCTAGTTGTAAGATCAAAAATAATAAATACAGCAACTGCTTTTCTGGAATTTCCTATTTAAAATAATGTGGTATATTCACATATTTAAATACAACTTCTCAGCTGCAAAGTATTTGAAGTTTTGAATGAACTGCAGTGATACCTTCAGGATTCTTGCAGAATTGTAATACCTATCTTGATATAGTGTGTATAATATAAACCCTTAGTGAAGTGAAGATTTAATAAAAGTATAATTTTAGAGCTTTTCAGCTTTTTATTGGTGCCTTTTAATTTGTTAGTTTCCTGTGAAAACCATTTATTTTTTCAAGAAAACAAAGACTTTGAAGGAATCACTTCTGAACACAGGGCTTCTTATTTGTGATATGAGGTCTGATCTTTAGTCAAACTGCTGCTGATTCTATTGCCTAAGTAAATTTTTAGTGTTGGGCCAATTGCTTGAGTTGCTTTATAGATGAATATTGATCAGTTTGGGGTTTTTTTAATCCTATGAAACAGTTTTTAAAGAAGTAAGGGAGTGTCTTTAAGTTGATTTCCTAGGTTTTATGTAAATTCTTGAGAGCTGTGTCATACTACTGTCTGTAAATGACTGACATTAAAGTGACCTTTATAAAGGAACCAAGAAAATAAAACTTGTATTCAGGCCATTTTTTTTTGTCTTTGCTTTTTGATTTTGGCAGAGACATTATTTCTCCAAAATAATGCAGGTTATTGTGCACTAATAGTACAAATTTTTAGTCTAAATTATAATTCTAACCATATAGTACAATATTCCTTTTTGTGTGTGTATTCCCTTTTAAAAGAAATCCTGTTGAATGAGAACAAACAAAAACAATTCATCATTTGAAGAAAATATAAACCAAAATTTGGCCAAATTGCAACTATAAAAGTAGATAGCAGCTCTCAATTTTACATTTGAGAACTTGTAATTTTTTTCTAGTTTTAATTTTACCTCTAAGCAAGAAATGGTGGATTCATTCCCTCAGACAAAAATCTTGCAGAAACAACAGTCAAATGAAAGATTGGAGCAAATAAGAGAAGTGACAGAAACTGGAGAGGGGTGTTCAAGGAGTACTCTCAGATATTATTCACTTCTGTATTTTCCATTGTAGTTTTTTTTCTAGATATTTTTCCATTACAGGAAACAGTCATTGCTTAAGAACTAAGCTAATCCAATGGAATTTATAAACTTCGGTGTTTTTTTTTTTACTAAGGTGAACACTGAGATGAACTCAGTAGAAAAACTGGAGTAGCTCAAGTAGGAAAGGAGGTAACAGCTTAATCCTTAAAATTTTGACATACTGAAAAGACACAATGCTTATCTTCTTAAATAAGTTTCTAAACCATTTCTAAATTGTTTGCTTTTCTTTCTAGAAATAAAAATAGCCCACCACCTCACCCAGTCCTGTCTTCCATATCAGTTCTCTTTTGCCACCATCTAGGAACTGCTGTCAAGGGCTCATTTCTAATCACAGTACTGAGAATACCAAGGATTGTTCTTTTGTTCCTTTATAATATCCTAAAACAAAAGGTAGGTATATAATTCTAAAACACTATTAAAATAGTAATTAAAAGGTGATATTACCGGGGGATGGGGGGGGGGGGAAGTGAAGAATATATTTCTTGCTTAAAACTGGATGATATTACATGGATTTTATATTTTATCCTGTTTTCTTCATTAAGAAAGCTTTTTTTTCCTCTCATCTTAGATATCAGTGCTTTCTTTTTTCTCTCAACTCAGATATTTTTAAAAGCATAAAATACTAATATTTAAAGCACCCTTTAATTAGTCTTTATATGTAAGGTTTTTATGAAGGATAAAGGAAAAAAATTGTCAGAATGCTCTATTAAAAATATTTTGCATCATAAATTTTTAAAAAGCAAATGTAAGAATATTGTTGGATATAAGATCTGTTATAGAAAATATTTTATCTACTTTGTAATGAGTTTATAGAAAGAATATATGAAATAAGAACTATTCCTGAGATTTGTGTAGTATCCAATACACATCTTTTAAGATATATAAAAGATGTAGCTGGGCCGTTTTGAATGTTTCTTTCCTTCTTTTTACCTTTCATGCATTGCCACATCTGTTATCTTCTGCTGGAAACATATCACTGTACTTCATTCTGGCGCTTTGGCAAGGATGAGAGGTCTCTCATGCTCCTTTTAATAAGATAGAAAGATGTGGATGTGCAAGTGTCTGGGTTTATGTCTTATGAAAGTTTTGGTTCTAAAACTTGGTGAGTTGTGTAAACTAAGAACTTTGTATCAAGATGATAGGTGGGATGACTTACAATTCTGCTCTTAGAGAAAGCAGAATAGGTGGACTTGTGTCTGCAGCAATGTGCTACAGGCTCCTTTTGGTCCAGTTCCCAAGCATTCAGCTGAGGATGTTACATGACCCATAGCTGTAACTGCTGCTGAAGAGGCTAGAAAGTGCTGTGGCCAGCTCTTGTCCTCAGTCCACAGAAGGATCCTCCCAAGAGTAACCTTATCCCTTCTCATGGGGGAAAGGACAGACTGTGGCCCCTTTCATTGAGGCCCTTTCCGTAGAGGGCCAGAGCAGTGGAACTGAAGGATGGAGAAGTGATGCTGCATTCTTGTAGAACTCACTCAGACTTCACCACCCTTGCAAAAAATGCTGCTGTTCTCTGTGAACAGAGGAAAAGTCAGGGGTCTGCAGGTAAATTTACAGATAGTTTCTACACAGCAGTCTTCAAGCAGAGTCAGAGAGGAGATTGTAGTTGGAGTCCCTTGCTCCAGGCTTTTAACAAACAGTACTTACTAAGATAATACAGTTTTAGTACAATCATTTTTCCAGCAATACATGGCAAGAGTATTTTTCTGTCAGGAGTTTGCATGTACAGTCACCATTTTAAAGGATTTATTCCTGGAATATTTTCATGAACCTTTTTGGGAAAAGTTGGGAGGTTCATGGTTTCTGCACAAACAACAGGAGTTGTTGGGATCTGAGTTTTCCTGTAGTTACTGGAAGATCTCTGCTTTCCAAATTAAGACAAAACATTCTGATCTCTTGAAAAAGAAAGTTAAAAAGACTCAAATATCCGTGAACTGAATTTCCTTTTGTTAAGAAAAACAGCCAGTTAAATTTGTAAGGCTACCATGACTACCAAGATGTCTTTTTCTTGTCTTGCATCATTGTGATGAACAGTTCTGAGCTCATGATGTGATGGGGGTACAGGAACGTGAAAAAAACAGTGAGCTTTATTGCTCTGTTTCTAGTATGAAATTAATATAGATCAATGGTTTAAGAATAGTCTGTTCTACAAGCTTTTTCTTCCTGTCCTGAAAAATGTATGTATGCTCTGAGTCAAAACACATATATATGCATATAAGGCCTTCTACCCATGCTTTTTTTTTGTTCATTAGGTACCAGTCATTTCAGAACTGCGAGGGTTTTTGATAAACAAAAAAGTTCAAAATATGTCAGTGAACTCCCTGATCACTGCAAAGTACTGTAAGGGTTACTGACTTGCCTACCTGTTTTGTTCTCCAAGCAGCTGTTAGCTCACAAAGCTGCTTGCAGCACTTATTTTCTTTTCCCAGAGAAGAATCTTCCATCTACAGGAAGAAAAAATGCGTACAGCTCATCAGTCATTAATACTGAAGGGTCTGAATTAAAAACAGTTCTTATAATCCTAATGGAAATATCTGCTGCCTAAGTGAACACTTTATTAGAAGGGTCAGACACCTGTAAAGCAAGTTTTTTCTAAAATGGCAGTTTTGTTTGAGCCTAATTATGTGTCCAGTAACCAGTCATTTCATTTTATTGCAGAAGAACACAAAGTGCCTGTTCAAGTGCTGTTTCTGCTGGTTTTGCTGCCATGAAAGTTGCTTAAGACCCTTTAACCAGGTTTGATCTGTCATCTCTGTCACTCAGCCTAGTCTGGATGCTGTGTATGGGTGCCAGCCCTGTGACACGGCTAAAAGGCTACAGCCAGTGCATGCAGGCCAAAGTTTCAAGCTAGGCACCTAAACTAAAGAAACAAAAAAGCCTTCAGGTGCAGATGGAACTTGTTGCAAAGAAACGGGAAATTGACAAACACGCAAGGTGCAAGATTTTAGAGAACTTTTTAATACAGCTTTATACAGCCCTTTCAGAGGGCCACTTGCTATTTCTGTAGGTAAGAAGGCAACATTTTGTTGAGATGTGCCAGACAGACCACTGAAACACAGAGGGTCCAGGTGGAAAGAAGCAACGAAGAATTAAGAAAAACACCTGGAGATGTGTCTTTGAAATAGATACAGTATTTTCCACCTCTAAGTCTTTAATAAACTTGAACTCCTGACTGATTGCCATTATCAGTAAATCTGGGAATATGATCCGTGATGTTAGGAGTCTTGTCTAAAAAGTGTTTTTATTGGAAAAGGATGATTTCTGACATACAGCAATTTTTCTGATACTGGACACTTATTTTTTCCTTTTCTCCAAATGTGTTCCAGCTTTATATACATAACTATAAATAATAGGTTTTTCTCTTTGTCATTCCCCTTTTTTTGTCTCTGGTGACTGTGATATTCTTTATGTGAAAGGGAATCAGATGTTCATGCCCATTCCTAACTCTCTGAGTTCTTTGTTCTCATTGCTGAAGGCCGTAGTGAAGTAAACAAGACAATTCTCATAAAGGATCTGACTTCTCCTCTTAAGTACATGCATAAGTTTGATCTTGGACAGCTATGAAGAGAAAGTTTTTAATTTAGTTCAGCCTAGATTAAATACTTGTGCAGTGAAATCTCTGATGAATTTTCCAGACTTACATTTTCTAGGTAGGTCTTATGGTCACTGACTTGGTGAGGAATATCAGAGTTCATTTTGATTCCAGGCTTTCCATTTGCAGTTACCCTTTCCCCTTGACCTGGCTTCCTGCCTTTCAAAGAGATATCCAGCATCTAGTATTTACTTTCTGCAGCTGTTGTATGCTATGTGTTTGTTAAAACAATTAATTACTGTAATGTTCTTCCTTTTGTTTCAGAAGGCTGTATTGTAGCTCTTGTTCCCTTAAAAGATTTCCTGTTTCCTAATCTATTGTAGGCAAATTTCTGTTTTCATATGAGTTGCGGTTTTTAACCTAATGATCATAATACAGTGTTTGCTGTTAGATAATTGTTTGAATACCTTTTTGGCAATGGTTGGAGAAGAAGAATAGGTTTTAATAGAAATTTTATCTGTATGAAGGGCTAACATTGGTCTTAAGTTATTTCATTTCATAGAGTAATTCATGTATCTAATTAGTTTTTTTTCTCTCCCCCTTAATGAATATGTCCAAACCTATTTATTAAAAAATATATTTTTACTAAGATTGAAAATATTAATCTTTAGTTTTGTAAAATCTGTGGCCAAATGTAAGAGAGGAAAAAAAAAAAGGAAAAAAAAATCTCCAGTTTTAATCAGCTTTGACATATTGCTTGATTAACAGAAGTAGTAAACTCTTAAAAGCTCTTACTGAGATTGGTGAAAGCTTCTGGGAACAACCTTTAATTTTGGCATAGATGTTGAACATGGACTTGAGAGTAAGACTTGGAGGAGTTAAGAAATTGCTTGTACCTACATTTCTAAGTTCAAATTTTGATTTTTGTATGAGCTGAAATCACTGAAATGTGGAACAGCTGTTATAAAAGTTGGTCCAAAGATCATTGTGTACATTAACATTCCTTACTATTTTGCCTTTTATTCTAGTATTACTTTCACTATAGTAATAAGCATATAATTAACTGAAACTCTAAAAAAAAAAAAATCCCATCACTTCTGCACTACTTTCTTTTCAACCTGTTGTTACACTGCTTAGGTGATTTAAATTTTTTCTGCTCCTTCATTCACAAGTTTAATCAGGATTAAAGAGAGTCCCTTGTTTTCCTTCTGAGAAACTTGCAGATGAGAAACAGGTGCTGGAGGAGGTAACCCTGGTGATAGAGTGCAAGCTTCTTTCTTCCCATGCAGAATGAACCAAATGCTCTGTTAGGTTATCAGAGAGTACTTCTCAGGCTGGAGTGCCATCTTGCAGGTGGGATTTAACACTGACTTTGATAGTCACATGCGTCTCTAAGTGACTCATTCTGTGCAGGCTCAACTAAGTTTCTTTTCAGCTCTCTTGGCAGTTAACTGAAACAGGCCAAAAAGTTACCCTGTCATCTTCCCATCATGACAGAGTGCTGAACTGGATTCTGACAATTGCCGTATTTCCAGTGGTGGCTGTTGGAGGAGGGGTAATGTAAGCCCAGTGTCCTGTGCAGATTGCAATACGGATAATTACATTCTACCTTCCTAAATTTCTCTTGAATTTGCAACTGGATCCTGTGCTAAACTGTGGCGTACTGTTGCTATGTGCTGTTAAACAGTTCACTCCTTAAGCTGTTCCATTTCAGTCATGGGCAAAGTGATTCATGTGTGTGTATAATCCATTAGTAACAATTGTAAAGCACTCTGGGTTCTGTGGCTGAAAAGTGCTTTCTGAATATAAAGTCATTATCCTTACTTGACAATTCTGTTTGCCAACCCTTGTCAGAATTACCACAGATTTTTCATCTTCTGGCTCTGATGGCTTCAGTATGTTCCAGATAAACATATCCAATCATCTCAAGTAAAATCTAGGCTATTGAAATTTCTCTGCTGTAAAAAGAATATACCATTTTTTAAATGTGGTTTCAGAACTACAAGGTCCATGTCTCTCCTGCTTTCTGAAGTTGTAGTGGCAGTCTTAACTTTTGATACATCAAAGCACTCACATACTTTCCCTTTACAGCCCTGTTGCAGGGATTATTTTTTTTTTTTAAGCAGTGCAACTAATTCAGGGTAGTTTTGCATTTCTGTGTTTGCTTTGTGTTCATCTGCAGCCAGTTGGCAAAGGGGCCACTCCAAACAAAGTGCAGTGCCTGGGTTTCTGAAGGAGCTGCGGAGCAGTGTGTGGTTTCTCTGTTTCCATCAGTGCAGTTACTTGCAGTGTAGCCTTCCTGGCCCTGTGGCAGCCGTGTCTGAATTCTGCACCGTGTAGCCTGCATTTGCTACTCCTGAGACCCTTCCCTCAGACTGAGAGCCAGCAACTGTCTAGTGTAATAAACCAGGAGAAGTCTGTCTAATGGTTGTATATCCATGGCAGTTGGTTTTCTCTTAAACTTTGGATGGCAGCCTATCAGGAGATTGCAGTTAAATGTCTTGTGGAAAATTCACCTAGATAAGACCAAAACTCATGCATGCTAATGTAAGCACAGTTCTCCTCTGCATGCCAAACACATTGTGCCTCACCCCATCAAGTACTTCTTTTTCCTCCCAAAAACAATACTGCATTTTAATGGTACTGGCAAAATTGCTTCTGTATATTGAGCTGAATTTTCAGTCCTCTTGAAAATACAGTTGAATAACTTGTTAATCTTTAGTGAAGTTGTATTTTAAATATGTTTATTTTCCTTGTAGAGGCTTTATGCATGTGATAACAGGAAATAAAATTCTTTAGGTCTTTACTTGCTCTGTAGGATGAACCATGTAGGGGATAGAGTTGAACAATGCTAACTAATTCTTACTTTGATACCTCTCTCTTCTGCAAATATAATGTGGAATGAAAATAAATGAAAGCTGTGCTTTTTGGACTGCTTGAAAAAATTGAGGAGGTTATTGAAGGGTTTCTTACAGATGATAATTAGCTGAAGAATCAAATATAACCATTTCTGTATTAGTTGTGTGCTTATTGGTTGGAAATGGAGGAGGAGAATATTCTCCCTATATTTGTCAGCCACAGGGCAATAGCCTTTAGTTAATAAGGCTGCAGAAAGCACAGAGTCAGTCCTGGAAAGTGTGAGATGAAATACTTACACTGGAAAGAGGGGGATAAATGCTGTTGTACAAGTTGCTTATTTCACAGGAGGGACTGGAGTATCCTGTGACAAATGAAGGGTAAGAGCAAGCCCATTGGCATCTATGGGACAGTAGGGTGGGATAAGAGCCAGGCAATATCAGCAGAAAAATGACTAGATGTAAATTGTTCATGAGTGAATATTGTCTGGAAGCTGGAAGAAGGTTGCTAAGGACAGAGGGACAACTTAGGGAGAAGTCCTAAGTGGTTTAAAGAGGGAGCTTTCCACTTAAGAGAAGATTTGTATAATGTGCTAATCTGAAATAGCCAGGGACTGGAGTGGCTGGAAGTCCCTTCCAGTCGTATGTCCTCATCTCTTCAGTGGGGCCACACAGGCCTGCGTTGCTCTCTTTCCAACCCCTATAATTTCCAACTCATGATCCAACTTTCTCACTGGGTCATTAACTGTTGCACAGCAGCCACAGAAATGTCATTGCCTCTTGCTACCATTGGATTTTGTTTTCTGAGGGGCCTCCACCGGCAGTGGTGTCACTTGAAAGCTAAGACACTTTAAAAGGTTCAGCCTGAGTTGCACTGTGCTGCAGTGGGTGTAGCTAACCAGGGCAGCCCCCAGGAGAGATGGCAGCAACAAGATAAGATCAGGCTGAAAATACCAGCAGAGCAGAAAAAGCTGAACTGGGATGTGAGACCAGCATGTCTCCTGCTTCTTTTTTAAGAAGGTTCTGTTGCTATGGCAATTCTCTCTTCCTCAAACTCATTTTATGAAAGCAAGCCCTAGAACGGAGGACTGAATTCAGCTGTTACACAAAGTAGCAATTATTCTCAACAATTGGGGAACTTACGACCTGGATCTGAGCCACAGTGCGTTTCTCATGAAACTAGCCGGTCAGTTTTTCCAAGACCTTTGACATTCTGTGTTATGAGGCACAGAAGGATATAATCTTCAAATAGGAGTTTTTTTGCATACTGTGGTATTTGGAAATATATAAACATTCACATTCCTTATTTATTAATCCCGACACTGAGAAATCAGTATCTAGTTCCCAGGCCCCAGAAGAGCCAGAAGAAGCTTGTTTTCTTCAGAGAGGTGGCGGTACAGGACCAGCTTGCTGGTGCAAGAATGAAGACTGCTTCTGACCCACAATCTCCCATGTCTTCTGATCAGTCATATGATATTGATGCTCTTATCGCTTGCTTGTCACCGTACCAGAGACTACAATTGTAAAATATCAATTCATAAAGGAAAGATAAAAACATAATAGCTATAATATGTATATAAGGATCAGACTTAGTCTCCTTCTAGCTCAGTATCCCTTCTCCAACAGTGGCTGTGAGTGAATGCTAAGATAGAAGAAGAGGACATTGCCCTGCCCCTGTGCTCTTTCTGAATCTGTTTTCAGCCTAGGGATTTCTTGAGCTGAGTGTTTTCTGTGTGTTTAATATCTCTCAGCTGATTCCTTTTCGCTGAACTTCCCAGTCTCCCTTGAGCTCATGCAAACTTTTAGCAGCTAAAGCATCCTTTGTCCAGCAGTTCACAGTTTACAGATTTATAGTGAGAAGAAATACCATCTGTTTTCAAATTTGGCTTCTACTACTTCATATGGTTCTCCCCCTGCCTGGGTTTTGTCTGGAAGCAGCAGTGATCCATCTAACCCTACTACCCTCTCTGCATTTCTCATGAGTTTGTAGCCCTCTTACTGCATCCTCCTTCAGTTATCTCTTTTCCAGACAGGGGAGCCTGGTGTTCCCCAGACAGAAGACATTCCATACCTTTTGGATCATTTCTGCTGACCTTCTCTCAAACATTTTCAAGTCCACTAAAGCTTTTGTGCATGGAAAAAGAATGCATTCTGTAGAAAAACACAAATAACATGTTTCTAAATTTTAGCAGGTTCTTAACTGACCATGGTCTACCATCTTAGACTTCTCGATTGTCTTTAATTTGAAAGGCATTAGATTGTTGTCCATACCCTGCAATTGCAAAATTAATGGGATATCTAAGCTTTTTATTCCAAAGTCCAAAATTATTTGCTAATATTGATAATAGTTCGTATGTGTTCTCTGGTGAATAAGGATGAGAAATCGTTTGAGCTCCTTTCTGTGCCACACTGAGTTTCATGGAAGCATACATTTGCTGAAATGTTAGACATGTTTTGTTAGTGAGAACGTGTAGATTTCTGTGTGGTTGGATAGGACCAGGGTATGGGGTCTGTATGACAAACTTGGGAATTGTGAGGAAAGTGTATTCTAGGCTGAACAACAAACCTTCCAAATATTTTTTTTTCTCAGAAATGTTTTTGGGGGTTTTTTTGCGAAAAGGTGGAGATGACTTGGCTAAATCTTCAACTTGTGCTAGTAATATTCTTGCTTTGCCTATGTCTGACTAGTTTTGTAGCCTTCAGCAGTTCATTAAGTTTTGTCTCTCTCTTATAATGTTGGATTATTACCTGGCTGTCTTTGTGTCTTGAATATTATGATTTATTAATGCTTACATAATTTGTTTAAGTTGTAACTGTTATAAATGCCAGTTTTTATCAACTGGTTTGTAACACGACAAATCCCTGTGCAGGTAGTATACAGTCTCCAGCATTATTTTCAGTCTTTCCAAGATAACTGTTCTAGTTAATAAATATCAGAAGTTCTTTTCATTGCACATTCTTTGAATACCAAAGTGCCTACTTCAAGAGTGCAAACAATCGGGTATTTATTTTAAGTTTGGAAACAATGTTTGCACAAGAGCATGTGCACTTTCAACTTTTTGATTTTTAAAACACATTTTTTACAATTCATAAATGAATACAAAATCTCTGTTTAATTTATTGGCAAAATTTATATTGACCTCACCAAATGAGGATCTGCTCTGTGAATTTAGCTCTTAAGAGACAGAAACAAACTTAGAAAACACTTTTCAACTTCATGTCTCCGTTCCCCGTCTGTTTAATGGGAATGATGAAACAGACTTAACTCACAGGATGTTATAAAGATAAGTCTACCCATGTCTGAAATATTCAGTGACAGTCACAGATGGAAGACAGAGGGAACTTAAGGTGAGGCCACCTCCCCTATGCTTAAGTCCTGGGCCAGCGAGGCTGGCACTGGCTGGTCTCTTCCTGCTGCCACATCCTGTGATGTTATGGTGACAGCACTCTGCTGGGAAAGGAACAGCATTAGGATGAATGAAACTTAGCACAGAAAGCATTTTTTCCTATTTAGGAATTAAGCAAACTTGCTTATTTAAACAGATTTTTATGCAGATACTCTATATGTTTCTATAGAGTTCACTGGAGTCTCTGATTTTGCTTAGAGTAGACAATAAATCCATGGCCTTTATTTATATTTTTTCCATCTATTGATATATTTGCTACCATGTAAGTACAATATTTACAGAATGTCACTGCTTTTTTGCTTACTATTAGAGAAAAATTGTCTTTTTTTATATAAAATAAATAATATCCACAGTAAAGAGACAAAGAATCTTTGCATTTAATTTCTTCCTTTCTCTGTAATACTTTAAGATAATGTCAGTATCTACAGTATGCTACACTACAGTATGTTACAGAAATTGCTCTGGGGTAAAACTAGACTCTACAGAAATAAATTTTCTTTGCCTTCAGATATCTGAAGTTATTTTATATTTTGAATTGTAAGTAAGAAAAACCATTTTTTTAACAGGAAGTATTTTCAGTAGGCCAGTATAATTCATTTTCAGCAAACCAGTTATGGGCTGCTTTTTTTCACTTCCAGGTGAAGCAGAAAGTAATGTAAGCACCAAGCACATGTTGAGGTGTATCAATTGCTTCAGAACAGTAATCCCCTGCATGCTGTGGTTCTTACTGACCATACCAGATGTGACTAAAGGTTTTGTGGCATAATCTGCCTTCTAATATTTTGAGTAAAGGGAAACTACTCATAAGAATTGCTGGTAAAACCCAGCATATATTTCAAGTATTGTTAGTTCTACTTTTCTTAGCTGATGCTTTGGACATAGTTTCATTTTTCAAACCTTGTTGAGGACATAAATGGGACATATATGTCAATTTATGCACAAATGTGAAAATAATCAAGTCCATGAAGGTAAATATTCTATCCTCCCCACCTGTCCAGGCAAGTTTCCACAAAGGGAAATGTAAAATTTTCAATACATTGAAAAACTGGGAGTGCCTCTGCTGTCTGTTGAAGTTCAGAGTGGGGTGGGGCTTGTGACCTAACAGTCACTGGTCTAGTCCAGGGTCCTTCAGCTGTTCTTTTCCAGTAATTTCCACAGTTGGTTTCATCTTTCATGAAAAGGTTTATTTTATGGCTATAACCATAAGCTTGAATTTCAGTAGCATATAAATAGTTTGAAAGCACTGTGTATAAAAGCTTTTTAATCATCAACTTTTAATGACTTGGTAAATACATAACTTCATTATTTCACTTACATAGTTTGCCAGCAATCTTGAAGATAGATAGCAAGTAAGTTTGTGTAGTGTGACTCCAGGTGTTTTGTGGCAGTTGTGTCATATTCATTCACAAAATTAGGGTAGAGAACTTCAGCGTTTTAAAATAAAATTGATAAAGGTGGGTTCAAAAATTTATTTAGTCACTATTGTAGCATTTGCTAATAGTGGAAATTATGTAGAAAAACTCTTGGAAGTTAGAAGCATAATTGTTATAGTTACTTTAAATAACATTGATGTATTATGCAACATAACTCTTTATATTCATAAAGTCACTATTTCCAAATAGAATTTAAGGCTTTGCATTTTGCTGAAGTAAAATCTAGATTACAAGTCTTTCCTCTCTCACTGCATTATTGTCTTATCTCATTTCAGCATGCATACACAACTACGGCCATAAATGGGACAAATTTTTGTACATCAGCAAAGGATGCTGACTGTATTTTGGCAAGGAGTTCTGCTAAACTTGCATCCATTAGCTGTTTTGGAGATTTTCTCCTGTTTCTAGGAAAGGTAAGAGTAAAAAAAAGTACTGTTTGGTAAGAACGAAGTGAAAATCAGTTTTGATTATCTTTTCATATACCTAAAGTAAATAAGGTTTATCTTTGTTAAAGTAAACAAAGTTCAGGAGAGAAGAATGTTTGAGGAATTTAAACCTTTTCATAGTCTTTGCAGAGTTATTTAGTCGTATTACAGTAGTGTCCTTGGAGCCACTCTTGCAGTTTTCGTTGCGACGAGTCTTTGGTAGATACATGGCAAAAGATTGACTCTGCCCTATGGAATTTACACATGGAATTGAAAAGTGTGACAACTATGTGATGCTGGAAACTGCTTAGCTATCTCCCAGCTGAGATGTGCTGCTAAAATATTGGCTGTTATCTATTTGCCTCAGGGTTTTTGGGGGGTATTTGGCTTTTTTTAAGGAAGATTTCTACATGATTAATGAGGCTGCCCTTCTCTCTCGCTACCCTTTACAGGTGTTTGTTGTATGTTTTACTGTTTTTGGAGGATTGATGGCATTTAACTACCACTGGGAGTTGCAAGCTTGGGTAGTTCCTCTGTTGCTGGTTGGATTTTTTGCCTACCTGATGTCCCACAGCTTTCTGTCTGTGTTTGAAGTGACAGCAATGCCATGTTTCTTTGCTTTGCCATTTATATGGAAACAGATGATGGAACTGCAGAGAAGCCATACTTCGTGGATCAGGAGCTGCTGGTAAACCTCTCTGATAACAGCAAAGATATTTGAGCCATTCTAAGCTTTTAAATACTTTTTCATTCCCCAAGACCTAGTGATTTGAACCCACAGTCCATACTATTTCCTTTCCAACACCTTAGAACAGGATGGATTCAGGGTTACAAGTCGTATGTTAATTTATAAACTGAAGTAAATGGGTTCCTTGACTCCTGTGTGCTTAGCTATGATCTGCTGCCTTCTTTTAGATCATACTCTGCAAGTAGTGGGTGATTATTTGGGCCTTATTAGAACTATCTTCAATATATTGTTGGTAATTAAAAAATATAAAGAAATAGATGCACTAGCTGCAGAAACTGATCCATGGGGTGCCCTTAGATTAATGTTTATATTTATTGTGACTCACTGTATGATGAAAAAAGTAAACAACAAGGTGCTTCCTGTTGTGAGCAGCAGGTCAGGGATCCATTTCACATCCTATGGATGCTGTAATTCTGAAGAAACTTCATGCAAACCCGAGTTGCTCTGCTTCATACCTTTATAGATTCTTTTGCCAAAACACTGTCTTCTGTCTCTTGATTAAATTCTACTATCTCTGGACTGATTGTTCTGTGTCTTTACCCTTGTAAGTACCATGTTGTGGCAACAACCATCAGTGTGTTGCATTACCATCAGTATGTAGCTAATAGCAATGGAGAGCTGTATCTGAAGCATTTGAATATATATATGCCATCCCTTTCTTATTAAGAGAATATCTGAAGATGCAGATTTTTTTTCTTTTCATGCTATTTTTGCCAGTTCTGTCTTTTCCTCCATAAACCATGCAACAAAGAAAATCTTAGTGATTCATGAAAAACAAACTCAGCAGCCAAAGTAGCTCACGTGACACGAATGTTCTGGATGGATTTCTTCAGGACAGTATCTGAATAACTGGTTTGGGGTTTTTTTAATTTTACTTTTTTAATGCTGCTGTTAGAGTCTCTGTAATGTTCATAGAATTTTGTTGAGAACAAAAAAGTCCCAAACCCAAAACCAATGAAAAGGCACCTAAAGATAGGCTTAACCCTTTGTATAGAAGAAAGCAGATATATATTCTTTGGCTTTGGTTCAGAACAGTACTTACGCACATGTCCTGGATAGGAATATAACTGAATGGAAAACTCTGAAGCCTTGACCTCTGTTCTTCCCTCTCTGTTTTGCCAAATGCTAAAATACTTCTTAAGCCAATTCTCCTTCATGAAACAACCAGAGGCTTTCCTTTCTCCACTTCCACACTTTGTGGTAGTTTAACTCTGATCTTTATTCCTTGTAATGAGCCATGCCCTAGGGCCGTGGGTGAAGAGAGGATTTCCCACAGGGCTAAGGAGTCTTCCAAACAGGACAGACTGTGTACCCTTTTATGGAAAAACTGGGGGCAGCACATCCAAACTTCTCCTCATTATATGATCAAGAGTAAGTTTACTCACATAGCCAAGAATCTGGAGTTTCCCAACACATTTGTCTGTGTTACAGTCGGGTTACAAACATGCTGGGGGTGGAAGGGAGGCTCTGTGGCCCTCAGGACAATATGCAGCAGTGGGCGGAGAGCCGGGTGAGGGATTTCATACAGCCAGAGTCCTCATTCCTGCAGTAGGAGATGTAACAGAGATTCTTGGTTTATCCTTCTCAGTTGCATTCATCACTTTTGCTGCATCTGCAGAGTCCCTCCTGGTATCACTCAGTGCCATCCAGCCAGGAACCAGCTACAGTTTTTTAGCCCCAGGCTAATTATCTTCCTTTACCAGGTATTTTTATTTACATAATGGTTTGCTTTCCCAAATGATCTCACCCTGGTTTTTGCTCGTAGACCTTTGTGAGTCAGAGTAACAAGTTAACAGAAGGGCGAAAACACAGAAGCACAAGACCTTTCCACAGTAATGAAGATGGAACAGAACTCCAACCTATGGTGAGAGAGGAGCGTGGGATATGTATTTATCTGCCAGCTAGTGTGTTTGCCTTTATGTCTCAAGAAGAATGGATGTAGGTTGTCATGTATCTCCTGATGTCTCACAGCAACCAACTTGCTGTACCCAGTATCCTGTTTTTTCTTCTATTGCTTTCCCTCCTCAGGAAACCCTCTGCTGGTGCAAAATGGATGGATCAAATATTTCTTCTCATCCTTCTTCCCATTCCCCATTGTGTCCAGCAGAGGAAGAGAAAGTCTGGAGAGTGGCAAGGGGGTGGGAGATGAATGCTATTCAGATAGCCTTTCACATGCCTGCTGTAGCAAAGTCATTAGAGTGGTAGGCTGCTTAATGTCATGCCAGAACTGCTGAAGTTCCAGAGCTGTAATATCAAGCCTAGAGGTCTTCATTTTCCACCCCCACCCTTTTTCTTTCTTTCTTTCTTTATCAGTATATATATTTATTTATTATTACTCTGTTTTATGCTGGAGTAACAAAGCTGAGGTGCCAGAAGGGAGTGTTTCCCCACACCCAGGCTTGGGAAAGCCCTGAGAGTAAACACTCACTAACTGACATCTGAAAAAATATTGCAGATTGCCCAACCTGAGAGGCTGTCCCGGCAAGTTCAGAATCAGGACTGATTTTCCCCAAGCATCAAGGGGGCCAAGCTAGGGCTGCCAGAGAAAGATTCTGCAGCAGCAGCTCCTCTGACACCTACACGTGCTGGGCACTACTATGAGTGTCCTCTGCTGTCACAGCTATTTACACGAGTGTAACAGATGTCAGTGATTTTTCTTGGTCTGCTTTCCAGAGGTGCCAGGCTCAAGCCAACTCTCACACAATTCTGTGGGCATTCTGCTATAGGCAGCGCCCTGCTCCTGTTTATTGCTACAGTGGGGGATAGTTGTGCTTAATTTGGGTCTGTTATTGCATTCTTCAGTAATTTTTTGCCAAGCACAGAAACCAGAGAGTGAGTGGGTATTATTCCCTGCAAGAAGATTGTGGATTTGAGACACAAAATAACCTTAATTGTTTTCCCAGTTTACTCTTATGACATTTAAATGCAGAAACAGAACTACTGCTACACATTATTTACTCCTTTTTTCTCTCTTTGTAGACTTGAATGTGAAGCACATCAGAATTACGAAAGCAGAGCAGCAATAGCAGAAACAGTCATAGAAGAAAAGTGAAGGTTACCAATACCCCAGGACAGAGTATCAGTTCTCTAAATCTCTGTTGTACTTTCTGCACTGGTAAAATGACACAGTTTGTTTGTACAAATAAAGTATTTTGTGTCATCACATCTGATTTTTATTACTACACTTGCTATGATGGTCTAAAAGTTGTTAATAAACAAACTCCTTGTAAATTTCTGTGTTGTCTGACTAAAGTTACTACGTCAGCAAGATCATGGAGCTGTTCTTTTCAGCTTTTTGGTATGTCCACTAACGGGATTTTCTTCACGCTTCTCTGGAATACCGCGCCAGTCATCCCTGGATCAGTAAATGTAGAAATATTTGTAGAGGAGGCACTCTGAGATAACTGTTTCCTGATTTATTCTGCATATCTGAACAGCCAATGAAGGAACAAACTGAGCTCATTGATGGAAATTACCCTTGATAGAAATTCTCTGTAGTCAAGATAAGTAGCAGTTATGAGGTAGGTGTTTCTTTTAATTATACTCTTTTGGGAATGGTTTTTACAAGTTAGTATCATAAACTACCCACCAGCTTTTCTCCAAAGGGCAGCTGAGGAATAGTCCTTGGCTTTTTTTATAAGTAAAAATAAACAACTACCTTCCTTCTGCAATTGAAAACATGAAGCAGAAAAATTTTTATCTCGATTTAGAGCTTGGCAAAGTAGTAGATGACAGAGATAAAACGAGGACAGACATGAGATAGAAGGATGTTATAAATAATACTTTATAGAAATGTTAGCTGTAACATGGGTGTGAAATATGTCATTGAGGAGTGTAGTGACTGTCAGGACTCTAGTCAGAACAGAAACATGATAAGTGTAGACACTTTTAGAAAAACTAACTTGGTAACAGTCTGTCAGCATTTTCTTGTGAGCAATTTTGAGGTTCGTTTAAACTTTGTACCTGGATCCTAATTATAGTACACGTCATGGGCTCCACCTCATTCTGAATATGGGGTAGTTTTAGATTTTACTCAGTGGCACATTTTATTCTCTTTGTTCAAAAACTCTTTTGTTTGAGGTGGGAAGATGACTCCAGGGCTTTCAGTACTCATTGGTATAGGAAGTGAGACATCACTACAGGTGACTCAGAAGCTGCCTTAATGAATAGATTGATAAACCCTTGATTAGTCAGAGCTTGGAAATGACACACAGAAAAGCTCATTGATGGCCTGAATGAGAAATCTTTTTCAGCTAAATACTGGTCTCCTGCCGTTGAAAGGAGACGAGTTAGCTGTTAGGGAATGCTAAGAAATAGTTTTTATTCATCAGTTAATTAACTTTAGTCTAATTTAATATGAGCCACTTCAATCTATCATGGGATAGATGATGAAAAGGGGAAAGAAATAGATTAATTACTTTCTGCCTGGCAGGTGAAGGTGATAATCTACTGTCTGTGACTTGCCACCTTTCATTATTTAAAACTATACACTTAGGTATTTCTGGTGTTTGGCTTGTGGATGCTGTGGGAACTGAAAATCCTGATGAATAAAGACTAGCTCTCTAACCCTGAGAAAATGTGCAGATGTGGTACTTCCAAAGGGGCAAAACATTTCCTCTGCCATGAGTCCCAGTAAGATTGCTTCCAAATAGTCAGGTCTTCACAATGTAAACATGTTGTTTACTAATTTACAAAGTATAAGAGGTTTGCTTGGAAGTCAAAAAAAAAAATCAGTTTTTATTACACATTGGGGATTTCTTCCTGTTTGTATTTGATACTCACGCTGCATGTTTTGGCCTTTGACTCAGGAACTCTCTGGTGGAAAAAAAGGAGGGAAATTTTTATCTAAGTATGTTCTTGTTTTCAGACAATGCTTCCTTCAGAGGTTCCTTCCTAAGCTCAAAGACTGTGATTCTGCTCATTGCAATTATGATGCAGTGGCATTGCCTTCACTGCAGCTCTGGAGTGGAGAAAGGACACAACTTTTGGGTTGACTTTTAAAGAAGGAAGGTAGTAAAAAATGCCAATTAAGCTGGTTTTGAGAGCCATGTATATTATTACAGAAGACTTCCAAATATACAGCTTTTAATTAAATTTGTATACAAGGATAGCTTTATAGCTCTCAGGTAGAACACAAGACCTCCCAGTCTCACATACATTATGCTAGCAATTGTGTCAACAACCTCCAGCTGTACCATTCCTGTATGGCAGGAGTCCTCACCTGAGTTAGGGGGATAAGGCACTGCTACAGAAGCTGATGCTATTTAGTGCTTGTTTCTGACTGCTGTCTTCCTCTTCCCCTGCAGGATATTGTAGTCAGGCAACTATAAAGTAAGCTGTATGTAGGTACAGCTCCTGGGAATGCAGGAGCTAGTTCTGATGGTGATCTAAGCCACTTTCAATAATTTGATGCCTGCCCTGCAAAGCAGCCCAATACTGTGTGGACTCTTCTTTCCTGCAGCTATGGAAGATTCAGTGGAATGAAAGGTACTTTTATAACTACGTTCTTTAAAAATAGGAGATGGGGACTATTGGTGTCTGTTTACCAGGAAATGGCTAAATATTGCAGCCTACTGTTTTAAGCAAGGCAGCTTGATTTTGCTCTTGCTTGGTGTCTACTTCAACCTCTCAATTCAGTTATGATTCCACTGGATACCTCTGTGGGTGGAAGAAAACAGGCATACTGAGAAGAGTTTGTGTGTTTTTCTGTTTCTTCTTTTCAAATACATAAAAGTGTGCAAGCAGTTTAAAGCCTAGGTTTTGGACTCAGAAAGAGCAGGAAGCAGGGCATGGTCAGGCTCTTAAAAAAAAGACACTGCTTTCACCTAAACTATAAAAACCACAAAGCTTTTACTATTGATCATATAACTGCTTTTCAGCATTCAATACAAGAGTTCTACATTTTTAGATGCTATTATTTTGAAGGGGGAGAAATAGTATCATTCGAGGAGAGCAGGTCTTAACAGATGTCTTACTAATAATTCTCTTGCCTCAGATGAAGGGCTTGGACCAGTGACCTCTAGAGATCCTTTCTAATTTAAATTCTGTGAAATAAATAAGCTTAAGACTTACACAACAAACAGGTCAGTTGAAAGTCAGATCACCATATCACACTCAATGATAAAAGAAACTAATGGAACAAGCACAAACAATTTCTAGTCTTGAGGAAGAATCCTTCAGAAGTCCAGAACTTGCTAGTATAAAACATTTCATATGTGAATGCAGTAAGTTTAAACTGCAGTAAACACTTTTTAGATACCTTTAATAATTTGGCAGAAGTTAGAAGCTGCAACATTGGCCCCCATTGATACATACTCTTTTTTCCTTCTTTTATAAACAGTGCAGGTAAATTAGTACAGCCTGTGTGCACTCCATGGTGAGGAAGAAAGCATCTTCCATTTAGGAATAAAGCTCTGCTATCAGTAACCAAATAACTCAAATTGCAGGCCAGCAGGAACAAAGAGCGGGTATCTCTTTATGTAATCTAAAGCAAGGGTGTTTTGAATTCTCCAAGTGATGGCACAAAGGCTATAGGCTGAAGCAGAGGCAGCGATAAGTATGTGCAGATCCTCCCTGGCCTTGAGAAAATGGCAGGGATTCAGTGAACAGCTAAGGATCTCTGGTCATAACCTCACAGTCATGAAGAGGGGAAGTGAACTCAGCTGTGAAGGAGCTACATTCCTTTCCTATTAAGTCAGTGTCACTCATTCCTGGGAGATTTTTACAAGGTTGTTAGATTAAATCCCATGGAAAAGAATGAACCTGAACTGCTCCAGACAGGAGCTCAACATTACCCTTAACACAGGCAAAGGTGATGCTGATTTGGGAATAATTCTTCTGACATCTAATCTTTAAGAATGGTAGCATAACAAATGAGACAAGATCTTCTACATACCTTTAAGAAAAAAATATTTATTTATAAAAATACACTGGGATCAGTTTGAGAAGTGTGGCAATAAATACAGTTCAAGGAAGAAAAAAAGCATTTCTACATGGATATATTATGGCACAATAAAAGGTAAATGCACCATCAATCATGAGACTTTTGTTGGCTCAAGACTTTGTACAAGCTCCCTTTTTAGTAAGACAACTATTTCTAAGTTTGGTCAGTGTTGATAATGGAATGAATACACAATCACAAATGTATGCTTATGTCTAATGCAAGACTTACCATTAGCAAACAATACCTTAGAAACATAGCAATGATATTTAAATCACTAATGGGATATCTTAAACTTAATTGGCAAAGACCACATGTAACTTTAAGCATGAAATTCTTTTATCTCCTCTGGAGAACAGAAAAGCTGTAAATATGTAAAATGAAGACTTAACATGGTATGTAAATACCTACTTATGTAGAGACTGTGAGAATGCATAGCTCCTTATTAAACAACCTGGCTGTACGAGAGCACTCCCCCTTTCACAGTATTCCTTTTACTTCATATGCAGTTATTGTTTATGCTGTAGACTACAACTGTTACAGCACTAAAGGCAACTAGACAGGGAAAGGGCAGAGAAAGGAAAAAGGAATGTATGTAAGGCAGTATTTCTTTAGGTACATTAAGCGTAGTGTGTAGGAAAGACAAGTAACAATTCCACAAGGCTAGTTTCGTTTTTACTGAATAAAATAATGGACTAATACTGAACTTTTGATGCAAAGCTAATAATCAATGCCCTGGTCACTGTACTGGCCATGGTAATCTCTTTGATAGTCATCTTGGTACTCTCCGTGATAATCATCTGGGTATTCTGCCTGATAATCGCTATCGCTGATTTCTGACCCATTAGTTCCTGTTCCTTGGCTGCCGTTGTGAATGACGGGTTCTGTCGGTGCAGCACAGTACTTGGGGTCATACACTTGCCGTCCAAGCCCATACACACTCATTCCCTTCTGTGAAGCTACTTTGTTGGTACCCATTTGTAATGAAATAGTTGAGTTATCCACAGGTTGCAATATGTGCTTCTGATCGTAGATGTCTCTCCTGGTACCTGGTGCCAGCATACCAGCCTAAGAAAACAGGATTGAAGAGGTTCAGTAAGAAGGTCAAGAGCTGTGATTACTAGATTTACAATTTTAACTACTACACCTTACTGTAAGTGCTAGAAAGTAGGAAGTGAAGTATAACAAAACAGCACAACAGCATGCGCTCACTAGTAGCTAACTCACAGAAAAAAGTCCTTGCAGAAAGCTTCAATTTATGTTCCTCTTTGGAAAGAATATACTAAGTACTGTG